ACAGATGGAGAAACTGAAGCACAGAAATGTAAAGTGACTTACCCTAAACCTAGGGTGACCAGGTGTCTGGTTTTTGACTGGAACACCCTGTCGAAAAGGGACCCTGGCGGCTCCGGTCAGCACCGCCAACCGGGCCGTTAAAAGTCCGGTCGGTGGTGCTGCGCGCTAAGGCAGGCTAGTCCCTACCTGTCCTGGCTGACACCGCGCTGTGCCCCAGAAGGGGCCAGCAGCTCCGCTCTTAGGCGGGGGGAGGAGGGGCATGGGGCTCCGCATGCTGCCTCCGCCCTGAGTACTGGCTCTGCACTCCCATTGGCCGGTTCCCAGCCAATGGGAACTGGGGGTGGTGGTGCCAGCAGGCGAGAGCAGCACGTGGAGTCTCCTGGCTGCCCCTGCCTAAGACCCGGACCTGCTGGCCACTTCTGGGGCGCGTGCAGTGCTAGGACAAGCAGGCAGTCTGCCTTAGCCCCCCCGCTGCACCACTGACTGAGAACTGCCCATGCCCCAACCCCAAGCTCTAACCCCCTGCCCCAGCCCTGAGCCCCCCACAGCCTGGAGTACCCTCCTTCACCCCAAACCCCTCATCCCTGGCCCCATCCCCGAGCCCTCAACCCCTCGATTACCCCAGCCCCCCTGGCTCAACCCATAGCCCCCTCCTGCACTGCAAATCCCTCTGCTCCACCCCCCAGCCTGGAGACCCCTCCTGTACCCCAAACCCCTCATCCCCGGCCCCACCCCAGAGCCTTCATCCCCAGCTGGAGCCCATACCCCTTCCACATCCCAACCCCCTGCCTCAACCTGCAGCCCCCTCCCACACTCCGAATCCTCTGGCCCCATCCCCCAGCCTGGAGCCCCCTCGTGCACCCCAAACCTATCATCCCCACCCCAGAGTCCGGACCCCCAGCCGGAACCCTCACCCCCTCCCAAACCCCAACTCCCTGCCCCAGGATGAAGCCCCCTCCTGCACCCTGAACCCTCATTTCTGGCCCCACCCCGGAGCCCGCACCCACAGTTAAGGCCCTCACCCCCTCCTGCACCACAACCCCCTGCCCCAGCCCAGTAAAAGTGTGTGAAGGTGGAGGAGAGGGAGCTATTGAGGGAGAGGGAATGTGGTGAGTAGGGGGCGGGGCCTCAGGGAAGCGGCAGGGGTAGGGTGTTCGGTTTTGTGTGACTAGAAAGTTGGCAATCCTACCCAAACCACACAGTGAGTCATATAAACTGAGCTTAGAACCCAGACCCTCATTGACCCCCAGCCCCCTGCTGTATCCACTACAGTACACTGACCCTGCAACCACAATTCAGTAACATCAGGTCAGACCACACCTCCTCTCAGGTATCAGTTATTTTGTCACCCAGTTCTCAGACTGTAGAAGGGATGGGAATGGGAGGAGCCTCTGATTTGTAAGGGCAACAGCAGCATCATATATAGGGCTAAGAAACGTTTCTAATAACAGGTTTTGAAGGGAACAGGAGCCTGATTTTTATTTTATCCAACTATGTTAATGTTTGAACTTTGACTCTTATGTAAGACCAAGGCAATCAATCTAAAAACAAAAGTAATATCAATACTGCTCAAGGGTTAATTCAGCAGTGTAGCAGCAACAAACACGCTGCCACCCAGGAACCTGAGTTTGCCCGTTAGATACCATACAAGAGCCACGTTAAATGGATATGGCCTGATTCTCCCCTCCATTATACCTGGTTTACACTGTAAGCTATAGGATAGTTTGGATTAAGAAGTAAGTAGAAATTAGGCTAACTTGGGTCCAAAACCTAGGTGTAGAGGAGTAGGGGAAACTGAAGTTGCTAGTGTGAGAAAAGGCAAAGATAAGTTGGAGACAGAGTGTTATGGGAAAGTAAGAGTTAGCAAGGACGTGACCCAGGGCTTTGTTACCATGATGTTTGGATTATAACTGGTTTAAGCAACGTTTTTAATAAGTGTTTATGAAAATTGTGAATGGTTTATTCAAATGTTATCTATATTGCTAGTATGCGAAGGACATTGGTGCAGATGTTAATTTAAATAATGTGCAGTGTAAAGAGCCTATAAGAAGGTGGAAGAAATCTAGTTATGGTAAAGGACAGTTTAATGTTCATTAGTATTATACTAGAGTATAAAAGGAATAGTTTTGCTAAATTGCAAGGGAGAGCTCCAGTTAACATCCAAAGGGCACCATTCGGTTCCAGGACAATAAGGCTGTACTTCACTCTGTTGTCAGTGGACTGATCACCCATTGACACACCATTCCATCTTGGACTGGGAGTATAATAGTAGCATTTGTGTAAGTAGTATTTACATGCCTGTTTGCTTAACTAATCATTTTTCTAATAAAGTTTGGTTGTATCATTCAAAGTGTTGCCTAGTGATCCTCTACTAAACAGTTTTTCTGCAACCAACCTAGAAGCTTGAATCTGAAAACCAAGTTGGGTTTTCTTGGACCCTTATGTTTAACAACTCAATATTAATTGGAAACATTTCAGCATAAAGGTTAACAAATGTTTACAACATTGATATAACCCATTCATGTCAACAGAGATACACAGGAGCAAAAGTGATGTGATAGAGTGGAGAATTGGTCCCATAGTTTAGATCCTGATCTGACATGGTCTGAGATTGCTGTGATGATAAATGTGCTCTCCTCTAACCCCTGGGGCTGAGGAGGGTAGCATCTTATGTTAACCTCCGGAGATTCTGTCACTGACTGAAGAGGAGTGTTAACTGGACTCCCAGGGAGTTATGTCTGAGCCAGACCAAGGGGGTGACATGGGGCCTTAGATACCATCCTTCTACAAAGATAGATAAACCTTGATTATCAGGAGCAAAAATAATGCAGTGTAGGTTTGAAAATGTATGTAGTTAAATGCATTTTTACTTACAATTAGAGCTAATCTGTCTAATTGTTTCAAACAGTTTACTCAACATATTTAGCCCTTTCTCTCTGCTCATGAATTGTCTTTGAACTGATTGTGATTTTTATGAACACATCAAATAGTTTTGACAAAGATGTTTGACCTGTGGGTTGTTCACAAACTGTTCACAGCAAATATCCATTTAGGTACTGATACTCAGAATTCGTTATTTGACGTTTGGGACTGGTCACCCAGCTCACATGCTATTGTTTCTGCTCCATGATAGGATGGCTGAACTTTTACGAAGTACATACACTTTCCTCTGGAAGGAATTTTGTTTAGTCATAAAACAAATTTTGTTTCTCAGTTAACTGAATCTCACCTACTGGGCCCCAAATTCTCTCTCAGGAATATTCTTACACACAAAATTTTGTTCACATGAATGAAGCCCAGCTGCTAATTTCACAAACAGGTCTTTATACTAGTTTATAAGCCATTGTTCATACATATCAATGTGCTGCACAATGTGAGCATCAATGCACAGCCTTATCACATGTTAATAACTAGACTGCTTAGAGGAGAGAGAATTTATACAATGCCAGGACAGCAGCACCCCTTTCACAAGCAGCAATTTAGGGATTCAGCTGCACTGGGCATTGTCTTATGGATGGACTTCAGAAAGGGGGATTGGCTATTGATCTTTTCAGCAAATGCCTCGTTTTGTACATATTCCCAAGCCCCACCTTTGAGTACTCACTCACCAGCTATGTGCTTCTCTTCTTCTTCTCAGACTACTTCACTGTTCGGTCCTCCAGTACATTAAGTCATTAATATCCTGGCAAACAAGAGGACAAATGGATCAGTAAATATTACTGGACAATTGCCACACAGACCTACCTTTTCCGTGTAGTGTGTGTGTGTGTGTGTGTGTGTGTGTGTGTGAGATCACTTAGTTAAAAGAGATTGTGTGTACATTGCCAATGTAATTTGACAAATGGTTTTCAAATAGTATGAAGTTAGCCAGTTCCCTGATACTTCAGATATACACAGTATTACGACACAATATGTCAGTAGCTGTGCTGAAAGGGTCTTAGCTGACATAGCAAGGGAGAAATCCAGGGATATGGGCATGAGGGGTTTTAGCTGGTGAATCAATAAGTATCTTTGATAGGTATGGTGAGGGTCCCTGCAGATATAAGGGGGCTCCCTGGAGATATTGCTACATCTTGCAAACAGACAGCAAGCAGGCATGTTCCTGACATGGGCTGTCTGCTTTCCCAAGCATCATCAGGGGTGACTTTAACCTTCTTCGCCAACTGCCAAGACAAGCAAGGCATTTTCATTCCACACTCCACATTGTTGACAGCTTACACTAACAGGTCCCAAATGCCACATCCCCATAAGAGACACACATTCTTGCTTGTCTAAAGGGGACGGGGTGGTGAAAGAAAGGAGATCTCACTGACTGTCCCACTGTGCGAACGCCAGTAGAGGACAATTCCGCGTGAGAAGAGAGAAAGGGCTGCAGGGAAACTACCACTGCCATCCAGCAAAGCTGATTGGTGGATGGTGTCGCTGGGCTGTAGGAGCAAAGATGGAGTAAATTTTTTCCCAGAGCAGCCCAGCTCTCAAGTTTTCTTTCCCTTCCAGAACCAGACCTGAAGGAAAAAGCTCCACAACCCGCAAATTGCTTCCCTCTCACATTGCCGTAAAGTGGTATTGCCAACACACACGAGCTCAGCACATGCATTCCTGGCACTGCTAAGATTGAAAATGCAGCTCCGAAGAGAAGGGGTTAACCCATAGAAGCACAGCCACGGGAGAGCTGAGACGTTAGTTTAAACTGACAAACCTAGTCCTCTGTAAACAGAGGAAACAAACCACACAAAACAGCAGCCATTAGAAGGTTGTTGTTTTAAATCCAGAAAGCAAACCCAGTGACCGTCCCCAGACCTGCGATCTGAAGCTTACCCCAGATTTCTCACTGCTCCAGAACCAGTGGTGAGGTGAAAATATTCTCACGCTGGAATCCGTTGACTCTCCGAGAAACTTGAGAGAGAAAGGAGAAGGCAAGAGAGAGCGGGAGAGAAGGGGGCGGAGGCAGCTCTGACATGTTTGTACAGTGCCTGGTTCACCTGGCTGTGAATTTGATTTCAGGGTGTGGTTGTAGATGAGACACAGAAATGTTCAGCGCTGGAAAGTCTCACTGCAAAGAGCATGATGAATGCTGACACTGGGGCCTCATGGGATCCTCCTTCCTCCTCCTCATCACCATCTCCCTTTGGACTCTGGAAGGGACAGGAGAGAGAAGGTGCTCAGAGTTGCACCAGAGCAATGAGGTTTGCTGGGTCTCAGACAAGAGCCTCTGCAAGGTCGCCACCTTGCACCCCTCCTCATTGGCTGACCTATTAATGCTCCGACTTGCTCGTTACCGCGCTTCTCTCGTTTCCACTGCCTTGGGGCCTAGAGCTGCTGCAGTTCCTAATGAATCCCGACATCTCCTGCTGTGTTGTGAATTTCAGGACCTGCCACAAATTCCTAGTCATTCCTGGCAGCGGGAGCTTTGATCATTTGATATATGTCTGGATAGATGATAATTAATTTGCATTGCAGCTGTGCAGCACATGACCTGGTGCCAATACTTTTCCTCTGTAGCTTGCTATGAGTCAGTGCTGTGTGGTTTACTGTCTAGTATCATCCCATAATCCTCTTGCTCCAATTGTGCTGTGGCTCGGAGCTTATTGACTCCTGGAAATATACATTTCTGCATCAGTGACTTCTGTCTGCTGGAACATCAGTCAGCAGCGGGGGATGGGAAGAGGTGGAACGTGGATGAGGAACAGGAGGAGGTCAGAGTTCATGTCTGCCAAAGCCATCAACAGCTCTTTCCCTAGAGCAAACAAAGAGGATTCTTGCCTTATTGCAACAGTCTATTGCAAACAATGCCAGTCTAACACCAAGATGATTAGGTCCAAAGAGCAAAGATAAAAATACCCCCACCCCACACCGTGTAATTTACTCCCTTTTGTTTGTGTGGGGGAGGGGGGGTTTGCTAACATGGTATTAAATAAAAAATAAATCCATGATGTAAGTAACCCTGATCAATTAAACTGACATGGGCACCACAGACAGACATTATGGCCCAGTGGATGGGGCAGAGAAGTGGGACTCAGGAGACCTGGGTCCTAATCCTGACCCTGCCACTGACTTTCTGTGTAACCTCGGGTAAGTCACTTCATCTCCAAGTGCCTCAGTTTCCCCTCCCACTACTTCTCTTGTCTATTTAAATTACAAGCTCTTCAGGACAGGGTGTCTTTTACTATGTGTATGTACAGTGCCCAGCACAATGGGCCCAGGGTCTCAGCTGGGATCTATAGGAACTACTGTAATACAGAGAATCATGATAATAATACTGAGGGCAGGTCTACACTAGAAGCGCTACATTGGCGCAGCTGCACCAATGTAGCTGTGCCGCTGCAGCATGTCTGGTAAAGATGCTCTATGCCGACAGGAGAGCGCTCCTGCATTATTCTACAGGTCCTTGTCTGATGAGGCCTGCCAAGGAGATTTCCTACTGGTTCCCTATAGCAGCCTCTCTGGTATCTAGGAAGTAAAGTTAGCCAAGACCCTTTCTATTTGGGGATTGGCCTGCCTGCTCCTATTGGGGCATGTAAAGTTGGCGTCCCATGCGCCGTTGTAACCAAGAAAGGGGACATTTTTATTAGTGATGGCAAACACCAAACAGTGCTCAGAAGAGAGAAGGGCCAGCATTAGCCTCCCAGCAGCTCTCCCTTCAGAAGACTGCAATTTGAGCTGCAAAGTGCTGCCATGTGGAAGATCAGAGCATGAGCCCTTGTTTGCCAGGTTGGCAAGGGATGTGCCTGCTGCTGAGATGTGTGTTACACTCTTGCATACTGTCATTAGCAACTGCTACTTCCATACATTTCCACTGTGCCAGGCCGTGAGGGTCGGTCTATATGGGTAAGTTTGGGGGGAGCAGCACAAAGAAATATCACATACTGTACAGGGAGTCACCCAGGTTTGGGACGGCCTTTAAATCTACACAAGAATGGTCCTCCATGGCTTTAAGTGTTTGGGAGCATCGCACAAAGCCCTCTAAAACAAGAGGCACATCCTAGTCATGGAGACAGGCTTTGCCACATATAGAAGGGCCTGGCTTTACTTGCCAGAATGAGGACTTTGGATGGAGCCAGAAAAGGCCTGCCAACAGCAATTCCGGGCCCCAGGACAGAACAGTCAGTGGGCCCCCACGCACGCACAAGCCGCGCCCGCGCAGACATGGTCCGCCTGACATTTGGGTGATGCTGCGCCTGCACTGGCTGGTGCCCAGAGAGCTGCCGGCTGTGCTGCTGGGCGCGCTCTTCCCGCACAGCCAGGGCTTCCACATGCCTACCCAGTACCGTTGCCAACTGTCTAATCGTGCAAACCCCACCCCGGCCTGGCCCCGACCCTTCCCTGAGACCACGCCCCATCCCGCCCCTTCTCTGAGGCCCCCACCCCCTGCTCACTCCATCCTCCCCTCCCTCCTCCGTTGCTCACTCGCCCCCACCCTCATTCACTTTCACCAGGCTGTGGCAGAGGGTTGGAGTGCAGGAGGGGGTGAGGGGTCAGGCTCTGGGAGGGATTTTGGGTGTGAGAGGGAGTGAGGGGTGTGGGCTCTGGGGGGAGCGGGGGAGTTTGGGTGTGGGATGGGGTGCAGGGTGCAGACTCTGGGAGGGAGTTTGGGTGCGGGTCTAGGTTGGGGCAGGAGGTTAGAGTGCAGGAGGGGGTCAGGGGGTCGGCGCTTACCTCACGTGGCTCCTGAAAGCAACCAGCACACCCCTCCGGCAGCGGCTCCTAGGCGGGGGGGCCCAGAGGGTCTCTGCACGCTTCTGCCTGCAGGCACTGCCCCCACAGCTCCCATTGGCCGCAGTTCCTGGCCAATGGGAGCTGCGGAGTCAGCGCTCAGGGCGGGGGCAGCGCACGGAGACCCCCTCCCCAGAGGCCACAGGGATATGCCAGCCGCTTCCAGGAGCAGCGCGGAGCAAGGGCGGTGGGGCAAAGCACCCCTTTGCCCTCCCCTGTCAGCAGGCCTGGAGCCAGAGCAGCTTGAAGCCTGAAGTGAATCTCAGCAGTCTGGGATCTTAAATGAAGACCTATAGCGTCATTTAGGGTGGGTGAGGAGGGGGCTCTAGCCCCCCTCTGAGTTTTGTACCCGAGGTCTCCTCACAGTGCATGCCCTACCCAAGCCGGTGCTCTTAATTGCAACACATCTTGAGTGTGATATGTGAAGAATTCTGTACTGCTCCCAGCTTCCACCTTTGGGGCAGGGAGTTTGTTTATAAACAGAAGCAGGGTGATTAAGATAACAAAAGCCTTTTCATTAAATTAAGGCTCGTTAGATGATCCTGAAAGCACTGCCAAGCACTCCAGTTAAAAGATAGGAAACAAAGGGTAGGAATAAATGGTGAGAGTGGAGAGAGGTAAATAGTGGTATCCCACAGGACTCTGTACTGGGATCAGTGCTGTTCACCATATTCATAAATGATCTGGAAAAAGGGGTAAACAGGGAGGTGGCAAAATTTGCAGATGATACAAAATTACTCAAACTAGTTAAGTCCAAAGCAGACTGAAAAGGGTTACAAAAGGATCTCACAAAATTGGATGACTGGGCAACACAATGGCAGATGAAATTCAGTGCTGATAAATGCAAAGTAATGCACATGGCAAAATATAATCCCAACTATGCATACAAAATGATGGGGTCTAAATTAGCTGTTACCTATCAAGAAAGAGATCTTGGAGTCATTGTGGACAGTTCTCTGAAATCATCCACTCAATGTGCAGTGGTAACCAAAAAAGCTAAGAGAATATTGGGAATCATTAGGAAAGGGATAGATAATAAAACAGAAAATATCAAATTGCCTCTATATAAATCCATGGTACCCCCACATATTGAATACTGCATGCAGATTTGAGTCACCCCATCTCAAAAAAGATATACTGGATTTGGAAAAGGTACAGAGAAGGGCAACAGAAATTATTAGGGGTCTGGAACACCTACCATATGAGGAGAGATTAAAAAGACTGGGACTTTTCAGCTTGGAAAAGAGATGACAAAGGGGGGATATGATAGAGGTCTATAAAATCATGAATGGTGTGGAAAAATTGAATAAGGAAATGTTATTTACACCGTCACATAACACAAGAACTAGGGGTCACCCAATGAAATTAATAGGCAGCAGATTTAAAACAAACAAAAGAAAGTATTGCTTCACAGTTAACCTGTGGAACTCTTTGCCAGCGGATGTTGTGAAGGCCAAAACTATAACAGGGTTCCAATAAAAGAGCTAGATAAGTTCATGGAGGATAGGTCCATCAATGGCTATTAGCCAGGATGGGCAGGGATCCAACACCATATTCTGCATGCCCCTAGTCTCGGTTTGCTAGAAGCTGGGAGTGGGTGACAGGGGACAGATCATTTGATGATTGCCTGTTCTAGTCATTCCCTCTGAAGCACCTGGTATTGGCCACTGTTGAAAGACAGGATACTGGGCTAGGTGGACCATTGGTCTTACCCAGTATGGCCGTTCTGATGTTCTCATATAGAACCCAGATGTATCCCCCCCCGCTGTAACCCACTAGGAACCCTCTCCTCTCCTAGAGCCCAGGAGTCCTGATGGAGTCTCTCGCTCCGCAGAGTTAGAAGCAAAGTAAGAATATACTTACTAAAACATAAAATTTTAAACCTAACCAGTGTCCCTTAAGTGACTTGCCACAAGATGTCAGAACATGTTAGTATTGGAGCTGAGTGGGTCTAATATTTATTTAATTTTCTTTCTTTTATATAGGAATTAGATACAATGCGCCTGTAGGCTAATTGCTATGTTATCTGCCAAAAAACTAAAGTTTTCAAGTGCCTAAGTAGCCCCCTGAATCATGGTTAAAGTTGCCCCCTCCCCCCACCAAAATCTGAAGTGGCGTCCCTGATGAAGACTAGGACATTTTCCAGGCTTTTTAGGTAAGACTTGGATTCCTAGAATCCCATGCACTTTTGAAATTCCCTTGAATCGAAGCTCTCTAGATTTTCCCTCCAATTACAATTTGTCCTGTGCCTCTTTCCTAGGGTTACCATTCGTCCGGATTCCCCCGGACATGTCCGGCTTTTTAAGCTAAAAATAGCGTCGGGGGGAATTTGCAAATGTCCGGACTTCCCCCTGATGCAGAGCCCGCGCGGCTAACAGTGGTGCCGGCTGGACGGTGTCACTTACATGGGGCTCCGACACTC